ATTCAGGTATGACCTAAATCAAATCCCCTACAGTTATACAGTGGAAGTGACAAATAGATTCAAGGGATTAGATATGATAGACAGAGTGCCTGAAGAACTACGGATGGAGGTTTGTGACATTGTATAGGAGGCAGTGATCAAGACCACCCCCAAGGAAACGAAATGCAAAAAGGCAAAATGGTTGTTTCTTGGCTACAAATAGCCAAGAAAAGAAGAGACGTGAAAGGCAAAGGAGAAAAAGAAAGATACATCCATTTGAATGCAGAGTTCCAAAGAATAGCAAGGAGAGATAAGAAAGCCTTCCTCAGTGATCAGTGCAAAGAAATAGAGGAAAACAATAGAATGGGAAGGACTACAGACCTCTTCAAGAAAATCAGAGATACTAAGGGAACATTTCATGCAAGATGGGCTCAATAAAGGACAGAAATGGTATGGGCCTAACAGAAGCAGAAGATATTAAGAAGAGGTAGCAAGAATACACAGAACTATACAAAAAAGATCTTCATGACCCAGATAACCATGATGGTGTGATCACTCACTTAGAGCCAGACATCCTGGAATGTGAAGTCAAGTGGGCCTTAGGAAGCATCACTATGAACAAAGCTAGTGGAGGTGATGGAATTCCAGTTGAGCTATTTCAAGTCCTAAAAGATGATGCTGTGAAAGTGCCGCACTCAATATGCCAGCAAATTTGGAAAACTCAGCAGTGGCCACAGGACTGGAAAAGGTCAGTTTTCATCCCAATCCCAAAGAACGGCAATGCCAAAGATATGCAAATATGCAGATGACACCACCCTTATGGCATAAAGCAGAACTAAAGAGCCTCTTGATGAAAGTGAGAGAGGAGAGTGAAAAAGATGGCTTAAAACTCAGCATTCAGAAAACTAAGGTCATGGCATCTGGTCCCATCACTTCATGGCAAATAGATGGGGAAACAGTGGAAACAGTGACAGACTTTATTTTCTTGGGCTCCAAAATCACTGCAGATGGTGGCTGCAGCCATGAAATTAAAAGACGCTTATTCCTTGGAAGGAAAGTTATGACCAACCTAGACAGCATATTAAAAAGCAGAGATATTACTTTGCCAACAAAGGTCCATCTAGTCAAGGCTATGGTTTTTCCAGTAGTCATGTATCGATGTGAGAGTTGAACTATGAAGAAAGCTGAGCGCTGAAGAGTTGATGCTTTTGAACTGTGGTGTTGCAGAAGACTCTTGAGAGTCCCTTGGACTGCAAGGAGATCCAACCAGTCCATCCTAAAAGAAATAAGACCTGAATATTAATTGGAGAGACTGATGTTGAAGCTGAAACTCCAATACTTTGGCCACCTGAGGTGAAGAACTGACTCATTTGAAAAGACCCTGATGCTGGGAAAGATTGAAGGGGGGAGGAAAAGGGGACAACAGAGGATACGATGGTTGGATGGCATCACCGACTCAATAGACATGAGTTTGAGTAAGCTCTAGGAGTTGGTGATGAACAGAGAAGCCTGATGTGCAGCCCGTGGAGTTGCAAATAATCGGACACAACTGAGCAACTGAACTGAACTGATGAAGCCATTTCCCAACCTTTTTCTTAATCTCTGTGGTTTGACCAGCCTTTGTTTCATTCAACAGCCGTTTGTGGGATACCTTGTATCCAAGGGGATCCTGGCACGGTGGATACTGAGGTAAATAAGACCCGGCCTCCATCCAGGCGTGGAGGAGCTTTGTCCCACTTATGCTAACACCCGGTCATGTGTATGCAGGGCAGCTATGAGAGGGTGGCTTTTTCAGCTGGCTCATGAAGTAGGAGCTTTCCAGAGGCAAAGAGACATTCAAGGTGGAGGCAACTGCCTATACAAAGAAAGGGAGGTGTGAAAGTTCTGAGAAAAGGAGTCATTGGCCAGGGACAGAGCAGAGAACAGTTGGGAATGTCTCAGCATTTGGGGGACCAAATTGTTTAGGTACAGTATTTGCATTCCTTCCGCCTGCACTCCAGTGTGTAAGCTCCAGAAAAGCAGGTGCTGCGTGTCAACTTTTATTGCTCCACACCTGACACCTGTCTGGGACTGTGTGCTCTGGGTCCAACTCTTGCCGCAGAGACAGCTCCTGGCAGTGCCAAGAGCGCCCCCTCGTGGCTCCTCTGTGCTCCCACCTCCTGTCACCCGGCTGACTCGGCCCTGCGCCTCCCAGCAGCTCTTCATAGGGAAGGCACTTTGTCTGCCGTCATCCCACTTCATCTCCACCCTCCCTAAGAGGAGGATGCTCCCTTCGGTCCGACAAACACTTATTAAGCTCTTATTCTGTGTTAATTACTCTTCTAGGCATTGAGATACAGCACTGACATCAGCCTGGAAGGGCTCATAGAGAACCAAGGGATAATGAAGTTTCCTGGTGCTGTGGGGATCAGAGGAGGAATCAAGCCCATTTTGAAACCTGAAGGATGCAAGAGTGGCTGGCAAGGTAGGAAGCAAAATACAGTGCCCTTTGAAATGGAAACAGCCAAAGCTCAGTGGAGGCCCCACCCCTGCCATCTACTCAATGTTTATTGAACCACTACCATTTACTAAAGTCATAGAGGGGGTGTGGTGAGCTGCAGACTCAGAGGTGATTTAAGATGCCATCTGGGCCTGCAGCACTGTGGGAAGACAGGAAAGTAAATGGAAAAGGGGGTGCTTGGTGATGAGGGTCCTGTTAGCAGACACAGGGATGTAGAGCAGGGAGTATCCTTGAGAGGATCTCAGGAATGAGAACTCATGAGAAGGGTGAAGATGGGCCAGTTCAGTACCACAAGTGCAAGGGCTGTGAGAAAGCTATCAAAAAGAGGCCTGTCCTGGGCTGCTAATAAGGTTTTGCTTCTTAAAAAAAAAAAATTAATTTACTTATTTGGTTGCACCAAGTCTTAGTTGTGGCATGTGGACACTTGGTTGTGGTATGTGGGACCTAATTCCCTGTGAGGGTACTTTGTATGCCATGTCGCTTCAGCCGCGTCCGACTCTTTGTGACCCCACGGGCTGTAGCCCGCCAGGCTCCGACCATGGGATTCTCCAGGCAAGAATACTGGAATGGGTTGCTGTGCCCTCCTCCAGGGAAGCTTCCCAACCCAGGGATCGAACCTCCCTCTCTTCCATCTCCTGCATTGGCAGGCAGGTTCTTTACCACCAGTGCCACCCCTGGCCAGGGATCAAAACCAGGCCCCCTCACTGGGAGCGTCACTGGACTACCCGGGAAGTCCCAAGGTTCTGCTTCTTGATCTGGGTGCTTGGCTCCTGGGTGTGTGCAGTTACGGAAATTTATTGAACTGTACACTTAGGACTCAAATATGGACATTAACCTCAGTTGCTCTTCAACCCTTTAAAAGTAGTCCCCAATCTCTCACACTGCTATTTGATTTTTCTGTGTGGCACTTTCCACAATTTAAAAAAGTCTCTCTTTTGTAATGTAAAGGTTTAAATCAATCCTCCGGTACCAGCTCTAAGACCTTAGGAAATGATCTTTGCTGCGTCGGTTTCCTTGCCTGTAAAATGAGGATAATGATAATACTTTCATCCCGGGATTGTGTGCTGAGGCAATCACTTGAGATATGTAAAGCACTTACACAGTGCTTTCGATATGCTTAAAAATACCAAATTTCTAAGGATTGATGGTGCCTGGTACATAGCTCAATAAATAATTGGTTGAATAAATGAATGAATTAAAGGAATGATTTTTTTTTTTTTTTTTTTTGCACAAGCAGGTAGGTAGCTCAAACAAATAGAGGGGTGTGGATTGGAGGCGAGCACCTGAACTAAAGGCAGGAGCTCAGAGCCTGGGGAGCAGCTACACTCCTGTGAGAAGCAAAGGCTTCTGTGGGTGACCAGATGGGCCACTTGTCCCCAGCCCCTACACTGAAGGGCGTAGAGATAAGAACCAGGGTTCAGGGAAATTCCCTGGTGGTCCAGTGGCTCCACTGCTTCCACTGCAGGGGCCAGGTTCAATCCCTGGTCAGAGAACTAAGATCCTGAAAGCCTCGGCCACAAAACGAAAAAACCAAACCAGGGTTCAAGCCTATGCACCCCCGACCCCCCTAGTCCTCGACTACGTACTGCAGGCCCAAACCAGGAAGAAACGGCTCCATGGCCTCCCTAGGTCCCTACTCCCAGGGCTCTTCCCCCCCCCCCCCGGGGGGGTCAGACTCGGCAAGTCTCACCACCCTCAGGGGCTGGGGCTAGGACAGTTTCGGGAAGGGTGGGAAAACCTGCTGAACAGGATGACCAAAGCCTGAACCGGTTGGACGGGACAGTCCCATCTCCCCCCAGCAGCCTGTTCCTTTCCTGGCCCACAGAACAGAGGCAGGAGACTCAGAATAAATCCCTTTAATTCCACTGAGTGGGCTCTGGCCTGTGGAAGCAAGGGAGCCCCAAGGGGTGCGGAGGATCTGGCTCCGTGTGCGGGCCGGGCTGGCTTGGGGCTTACTGTGGGGGGCAGGGGAAGATGTGGGGCCACAGAGTCACTTCCCACTCCTCTCACCGCCCCCCACCCCATGGCATTAAATAAACAAAAAGGAACTCTGTACAACACAAAATATACAGGGAAATCCTTCCCTCCAGGCTGCCCCCCACCAGAGCCCTGGACTTTGCAGAGTGGGAGGGGCAGCTGTGGAAGAAAGGGTTGGGGCCTCCAGCCTCTGATGCTGTCCCAGGCCCCTTCCCAAGGTCATGGGATAGGGACAGGCAGCTTGGAACAGGAAGCAAAACTCCAACTTCCTCTGAAATCCTTCATGGAGAGGCCCATTTCTGTGGGACTCCTGGCTCAAAGGTTTTCTGCTCCTTGCAGACCGTGAGCTTTCTCAGGAACAAGTAGCCTGGACTTAGCTGAGATCCCTCCAACAGGGGCCGGAGCCCTGGCCTTGGAGGCAGAACAGGCCTGGGAAACAGGCTGCAGAAGTCTGGTCCCAAAGTCTTCACCCAGCCCAGGCCTCCATCTTGGCTAGGAAGCAGGGCCAGGTGAGAGACGACGAGAGCCCTGGAGAAGCCCAGGCTCAGAGGGGTCTAGTTGTTTGGTAATAGACCAGGTGTTCCATGTCATCGGTGGTGGAGACCTTGGAGCTGGTGGGGGTGGAAGGTGGGGGGTGGCGGTGTCTGTTGAAGCCCTTTCTCTGGTTCTTGAAGAAGCAGTAACCCAGAATGGCAACCACCACCACGATGCAGGTACCCAGGAGCGCTGCAACGGCTATCTCCACGGAGCCTGGGGGAAGAAAGGCCGGATGAAGCACTCCCAGAGCCTGCTGGGTTCTGACGCCCACCCCTGCTCTGTATCAAAGGGACCAAGGCAAACGGATGTGGGGGGTGATAATGGGGGTGGAATAAGGACCTTGGGCATGTGAGCAGCTGAAACTGCCCTGTTGGGAGCTTGGTGGGAAGGATTCTGATGGGCTTCGAGTCTTGGCTCCAGGTCACTCGACTTGCAGGTAGTGTGGGGAGGACTCTGACGGCCCACAGACCTGGCATGTATTTCTGTGCTTCTTTCCCTTGCCCCGGCAGGTACCACTATTGTCCCTTTAGCCAACCTCAGGACCCTCTCAAACAGGCTTAGGCTGCCACAACCAGCTAAGTGGAGTTGATCTTTGAGTTGATGCCTACTTAGTGGTGACAGACAGATGGGGGCTTACCTGTGCTGGGAACGGGGCTTTCCCGCCGCAGGCCAAACACATCCTTCTCTACAACACAATGGAGGCGGGGGACATAAGTCAATACTAAGGGGTCGAAGGGGTCGAAGACTCAGCTGCTCATCAGTAGTGCCCCAGACACCCCACTGCCCTCCTCTCCCACCCTTAGTTCAGCTGCTCTGAGGACAAGGCATGACCAGTCCACGCCTTGGGACAGAGCTGAATGCTCCAGCTAAGCCTTTCACCTCCGCATCTTCCAGCCCCACTCTGCCCCACTCACTGGAGATGCCACGACAGGACTCAAGGCACTGCTCCTCCTCCTCAAAGTTGTTCTTGTTGCCATAACAACCACCATAGGTAAAGCGGGCGCAGTGTTCAGTGAAGGGGTTGTAGTACCAGCGGGGGATGCTTTCTGAGCAGTGGCCCGTGTCTGGCAGGTCTACACAGTGCCCTGCAGGGTAAGGAGCAGACGAAGGTGTGAATGTCCACGGGACCTCCCTGCCACCACTAGGCTCCACATGGTTGCTGCCTGCCACCCCCTGACCCTCCTTAGGCTGGGGATTGCTGTGATTCAGTGAGGGCCCTGGGGGCCCCAGAAATATCTGGGCCATTTGCAGTGTTGTTAGAAGCAAGGAAGATAAATGCAGGAGAGTAAGTTTGGGTCCAGAATTACCCTAGGCTGACTCATATAACTATTTCTTAATTTTCTTTCAGCATTCCCGACTGTATCAAGGTCTTGGTTTTCTCCCCAGCACTTGATGGTCTGCCTTTTAATAAAGAAGACTCAGAGTCTGAACCTTGGCAGGCAACAGCGTCCAGCTAAAATTTGTTACCATGTTTTATTATACTTATTTTAAAAGCAGATCTCAAATTGTGGCATATAATAGTGGCTTTTCATTTACAGTACTGACGTGAAAGTTCCTTTATTTTTTTTAATCTCCAGTTTCAGTTATTTATTTTTGGCTGTGCTGCGTAGCATGTGGGATCTTAGTTCCCTGACCAGGGATTAAACCCATACCCCCTGCATTGGAAGTGCGGAGTCTTAACCACTGGATTGCCAGGGAAGTCCCTGAAATTTACTTTTTAATATATTAAGTTAAATCAATAACATCTCAGTGATATGTAGGCATGGTTAAATTTCTGAAGGTGTTGGAACTCTTCAGGCAATCCAGTGATTAAGACCCTGAGTTTCCACTGCAGGGGGCACGAGTTCAATCCCTGGTTAGAGAACTAAGATTCCACATGCCATGCGGCATGGCATAAAAAAAAATAAAAAGAATTTCTGGAGGTGTTAAGAGGATGTCTGATGCTTGGGAAACACAGAAAGAAAAGCGCAGGACACCCCTGCCCCCAGCTTTGTGCCCACAGCCTGGTACCCACAGCAGGCCCCTTCAGCACACGGATGGCATGAGTGAGCAGAGTAGTTCAGCCCTGACCCAGGAGACCAAGGCAGGAGCTCACCTTTGTCCCTGGGGAAGTGGATCCTCTGGAGTTTATCAAAGTCTCTGGTGTCTGCAAAGATGAAAGATCAGAGGTGCAGACCTGACAAAGGCCTCGCAGAGGTGTGGGGTGAGTGGTCTGGATCTGCCCTGCCCTGCCCACCGCCCTCCACCCCCAGGCCTCACATTTCTCACAGGTGGCCTCGTCGGAAGCATCGGGGCAGTCGGGAGTGTCATCACATTCCAGGAAGCTGTCGATGCAGCAGCCATCACCGCAGCGGAACTTGCTGGGGTGGCAGCTGCCAGAACACACTGGGGAGGGGTGAGGCCGGGGGGAGGGTGAGGTCAGGTGGGGGTGCAGAGGCCAGCAAATACCATGAGTCCGTCATCTCCCTGGCCCTCTCTACCCCCAGGCGGCATCATGACACAGCCCCTGTTCCCTCTCCACCCCTGCTCCTCAAACCCTCCTACACACAAAATAGGCAAAGGTTGATGGGAGGATCCTGAGCTGCAGGGGGTGAGGCACTTGCGGGCCTTCTTTCTGAGGGTAGGAATGAGTTGTGGAGCCAGGACAGTGTGGGCAGGGACCTGGACTTGATACCGGCTGGAGAGCGGGCAGGGGTCAGGGGAACAGGGAAAGAAGCAAAGCCCACCTGGATGATGCCTTTCTGCTGAGGGGCCTAGGAGAGAAAAACAGAGAAGTGAGAGGAGGCAGGGCCAGGCCCCAGCCGGGATGAGCTGATAGGGGGCCTAGGGATGGGGGTATTCCCAAGCCCACCTCCCTGATCCGTGAAGAGAGAACACCTACCCTGGGGGAATGTCACCTGAGCCCCAACACTGCTTCGCAAAGGCCCACCTTGCACATCGTGGCAGGCGAGCTTGCACTGTTCTTCCCAAAGGTAGTTGTTCTTGTTGCCCAGGCAACCTCCATAAACAAAACTCTTGCAGATCTGTTCTGTGGGGTCGTAGTACCAGCGGGGGAAGGAACCACGACAGCGGCCCACCTTCTTGGATGCAAGGCAGTGTTCTGGCAGGGAGGGAAGCTGGTCAGGGGGGTCTGAAGGGCCAGTCAACTGGGGCGGGGGATGGCTCCCAGGGTGGCCTCCTCACCCGCTTCCTTACCTTCCGTCTGCTCAGGGGACAGCACAGTGACTGTGACGTTGGACGTGCTCTCTGGCCGGTCTGAGCCGGCCGCCGTCAGCTGGAACAGGTAGCTGCCTTCTTTGAGTCCCCACAGCTCCACCTGGTCTGGACTATTCCTCTAAGCACAGGAATGGCCATCAGGCCCTGGGCTGCTCCAGACCCTCCCAAAAAGCGCCCCCCTCCCCCCCCACTGGGGAGACAGACGGTCTCGGTATTAAAAGGATCCTCAGCTTCTATCCACCCCATCCCACCTGGAGCTGCAGTTGGGCCTAGGCCCCAGAAAGGGGCCCTGGAGAGCTGAGGTTGGGGTCCAAGAGCCAGTCCCGGGTCTCACCTCTAACCTGACGTCTGTGTCACCCCGCAGGAGATGCCAGTCTGTGTTCTCCACACCCTTCAGCACTAGGGGTTCCTGGGGCTGTACCTTCAAGTCTATACCATCCCAGGCCTTGGGGATCCGGGACCCTGGGAGGAAGGTGAGGTAAGGTGCACTCTCACTGAATGGGCAGGATCCCTCCTCAAGTGAGGGGCTGGTGCCTTATGGGTGGCAACTAGACCAACCTAGGGCTCAGCAGCCTGGTAAGACACAGCTACAATTTCACAATGAAACCATTCTTCTTGTCCTCTATTTAGATATGTTACACTTAAGACATTCTACGGAGTAGGAAATGGCAAACCACTCCAGTATTCTTGCCTGGGAAATCCCATGGACAGAGGAGCCTGGTGGGCTACAGTCCATGGGGTGGCAAAAAGAGTCAAATAGGACTTAGCAGCTAACAATGACAGCAATTATATCATTATAGAATTTAATTTTATAAATGTAAATTTTTATAAAATGGGTTCATATTTATATGTACATATTTAAATATAAGGTAGATGTTTTTCTTTTAAATAAATATATTATTGTTTTAAATAAAAAGACATTCTAATATTGTAAAGCCACTTTCTGAAGCAAATAACTGAGTGCATTGCCATCTGATCCCATTCAGGGAAAAAAAATTATATATATATGTATATATACATATACATACATATACACACATATATTTGGAAGTAGGAATTTTCCTATTTTCTACAATAAGCAAGTACTTGTGCTAATTGCTTTAAAAAGTCAGGGGACTTCCATGGTGGTCCAACTAAGACTTGGCACTCCCAACACAGGGAGCCTGGGTCTGATCCCTGTTCAGGGAACTAGATCCCACATGCTTCAACTAAGTTTGTATGCCACAACTAAAGAACCCACATGCTGCAAGGACGATCAAAGAACCCACGTGCCACCACTGAGATACGGCGCAACCAAACAAACATATTTTTTTTTAAGTTAGAGTAACAACACTTTTGAAAAGCCAGATAAGTTAAGTGTAATTACCACCATCACCCCTCTCTCGGCAGCCCAGATCACTGCTGAGAAGTCCATCCGGACAGAGGCCTTAAGCACAGAGTTCCCGGGCAGCACTGTGTCAAGCCTTGGTGTCCCATGATGACTGGGCACATAAAGAGCATGCCTCCTCCAGTTACAAGGGGACACAAAATACCCTCCCTCAGCCAGGGTCTTCAGAGAGAGTGTGGCCCTGTGGACACCTTGATTTTGGACGTCTGGCCTCCGGGACTGAGATAATACATTCCTATTGTTTTCAGCCACCCACTTTGTAGTACGTTGGCATAGCAGCCCTAGAAAGCTGAAACACTGCCCTTGAGGGTGTTACGGTCCGATTAGGCAGGTTAAGACCCAGCCATAGAAAGCAAAATGAGAGAAAAGACCCACCAAGATGAAGGCATTTGTGGTACATGTACAAGACAAAGAAGTGGATGTTTAAAGAAAGGAAAGACCACAGCAAGTTAAAGGAAAAAGGCAAGGCTTTGTGAAGAAGAGACAAAGGGTTTTTTTTTTGTTTTGAGACAAAGGATTTTTAAAATTCTTTTAGTTTTATTTGTTTGGTTGTGGGGAAGAATGTTCTGTGTTGCTGATGACAGCAGAAAACATGACGAGCCAAAACAAGGAGTAGAGAATTTGCAAGGCTGGTTTGGTGGACATCAAGGAGACCAGCTGGGCTGGGACAGATCCCCAAGGGCCCTGGACACTGGGTCAGGGCATGTGGACACAGCAGGATTGACATTCAAATACTTAACAACTGGTGGTACAGAAAGGGGACAGACACTGGCACAGAGTCCTGGAGGCCCAGTCTGCAGTAGACATTGATCTCCCTCAAAGCCTGATCAAGGTCCAGAAGTACCAAGGGAAGGCCAAGGGCCAGGGTAGCAGGTGAATTCCTAAGCTCCTGGCAGCAGCTATTTACCCATCTGTCTGGAATAGAATTATTTATATGGAGCAAGGAGGCCAGCAAGTGGACCAGTGCAGTAGTTCAAGGCAGATGCAACAGAAGCAGTCTGAATTAAGGGATAGATTAGGGATGCATTGGAGAAGGAAATGGCAACCCACTCCAGTACTCTTGCCCGGAAAATCCCATGGACGGAGGAGCCTGGTAGGCTGCAGTCCATAGGGTCGCTAAGAGTCGGACACGACTGAGCGACTTCACTTCACTTTCACTTTCACTTAGGGATGGATCCTGATGCTGGGAAAGATTGAGGCAAGGAGGAGAATGGGGCAACAGAGGATGAGATGGTTGGATAGCATCACTGACTCAATGGACATAAGTGTGAGCAAACTCTGGGAGACAGTGAAGGACAGGGAAGCTTGGTATGCTCCAGTCCATGGGGCCATGAACTTAGCGACTGAATGACGACAGGGATGGAAAGGATGAGAAACAATGCTGGGTAGGCACTTCAGGCTGCTGTGCCTGACAGGCTCTGGGGAACTGGCAATGCAGAGCCAGGGCACGGGCAGAAGGGAAACCAGATCTAGCAGGAACATGTGGCTTCAGCCATAGAGAAGTTGAATTTGAGGGAGGGGAGGAGTACAGTGGGAGCTCCAGAGAAGGCAGAGGTGGAGAAAGACCAGAGTCATACTAATAAAGCTGCTGCTGGTAGAAAGTGTGCCCAGAGGACTTCCCTGGTGGTCCCGTGGTTGAGAATCTGCCTGCCAATGCAGGGGACAGGTTCAATCCCTGGTCTGGGAAGATCCCACATGTCTTGGGGCAACTAAGCCCCTGGGCCACAACTACTGCGTCGGCTCTAGACCCCACACTCCACAGCAAGAGAAGCTGCCACAGTGAGAAGCTGTCACACTGCAACTAGAGAGTAGTCCCCGTTTGGCAACTAGAGAAAGCCTATGCACAGGAATGAAGATCTAGCACAGCCAAAAATAAAATAATTAAATACAAAAAAATTAAAAGAAAAAAAAAAAAAAGGAAGTGTGTCTGGCACACACTAGGTACTCTATCTGTAGTATCTTATCAGGGCTGGCAAATTATGGCCTGCAGGCCACATTTAGTCCAACCTGTTATATTTTTCAACGGTTGAAAAGAATTTTTAAATTCTTTCTTCATGACATGTGAAAGCACATAAAATTCAAATTTGTGTCTATAAACTAAGATACAGCCTTATCAAATTGTTTACAAATTGTGGATGGCTGCTTTCATGTTACAACAGCAGCTAAGCAGTTGTAACCAACACAAAATCTAAAGTATTTACTATATGAGTATTCACAGGAGGTTTGCTGCCCCCATCTATATTGTCTACCTTCCTAACCATCCTGCCACAACTGCATTCTTGCTCACCTTTCCAGATGAGAAAACTGACTTCAGAGAGGTTAAATGACTTGCCCAGTGTCGCTCAGTTTCTAAACAGCAGAGCTGGGATTTGAAGCCTGTTCTGACTCATACTCTCTCCAAAACATCAAAACACCATGCTGCAGGTCAAACCTGCTTAAAAGGATGACTTTTTATTATTATTACTTTTATAGTCTTCAATTTTGTTTTTAGCTTAGGTAATACATGGACCTGGAGAAGGAAATGGCAACCCACTCCAGTATTCTTGTCCAGAAAATCCCATGGACAGAAAAACCTGGTTGGCTATAGTCCATGGGGTCGCAGAGCTGGACATGACTGAGGATAAGGACATGAACGAACCTTCTCTCCAGAAGTATTCTCAGTTACTAGTTTGGGGGCGTGTGTATGTGTGAATATCAGGAGGGAGAGAATTGAATTCATAAGCATACAAGTTCTTCATCTTGCTTTTCCTTTAATATATACTGGAAATCATTCACAGTAATACATATTTTTGGTTGCATAGCACTTTTAACACATTTAACCAGTCCATCAGTCCCTCTTGATTTACATCCTTCTTCTCTACCTTCCTCCCTCCCTACTAAAAACTAACCCATGCTGCCTCAGGGTTTATTATTAATATTATGATTAAAACAGCACCACGGAATCCAATTATAGGATGTGTTGACAGACATTGAGATTGTTTCCAATTCTTTGCTATTATAAACAATGGTGCAGTGACTGACTGGCTGGTAAGTTGTTTTACACATGTTTAAGCATAGCCACAAGATGAGTTCCTGCAAGTGGAACTGTGATGAGGGTTATGTGCATTTACACTTTTGGTGGATACTGCCAATCCGCTCTTCACAGAGGCACCAGAGAAGGTGAGTCAAGTCTAAGAGTTCAAAGGGAGGAGAGAAGGTAAAGAGATAAGAACAGCTGATAGAAGGCTGAATCACAGGGCTGCGTCTCTGCCTCTCTTTGATGAGGCAGAGAAAGCACAGCCAATAGAGGAGTCACAGAGGGTGGTCCCAGAGGCGAAAAGACCAGGACACACAGTGACAGCAAAGGGATGGGAGGGGAGAACTTCCACAGAGAAACAAGCCAAGTGGTGCAGAGGCTGCAGGAATGAGAAAAGGAAACCTCCATTAGAAGACCAGGAGAGCAGGGCCAGGAACCAAGCCCCAACCCAGTGGCTTGAGGGCTCACTGAGAGCTAGCTCAGGCCCTGAGGTAAGAGGCCAAGCCAAGGGGGCGGTGAACTGGGAGGAGCCTGTCCCTCCCTCCTTGCATTTTCCAGAAAGTAATCAGCAGTCCACAAGGGGAAACAAGACAGACTGCTTGGCAGTCTACCTAGCAGAAAGACAGGCTAGCCCCACTGGCCCCAGGGTAGAAGTCACAAACAGAGTGACATATCAGACCTCGGGCCAAATCAGCAATGTGTACCCACACATGCAAGGCTGGTCCTCTCCAAGCCCCAGTTCCCAGGAGCAAGGAGCAGATGTCTGGACAGATACCACTCCTTATTTCCCACCCACAGAGAGCAAAGGGCCAGAGAAGCAATAAAGCCAGCCCCTCCCCCAGCCGTCAGGCCTCAGGACTCCCCAGGGAAACACAGTCTCCATCTTCCAAGCCACTCTTCCAATGCAAAGATGGGGAAGGTAGAGGGAGGGAGGAGGAGGAAAGAGCAGGGTGCTTAGAAGGCCCCAGTAATCTGGACCAGACTGGCCTGGCCACAGGCAGGGAAAGGGGAACAGATCAACCCACCCTGGGAAAGGCTCCCCCAGTACAAGAACCAAAGGTTCAGAAGCCCTGAGCACTTGCCCAGTTTGCTTGCCTCGGTCTACCCTAGCCCAGCTTCCAGAAGGCCATGATGGCTTGATCCTGTTTGTACTTTCAACTTCTCTAGTGCGACTCAGGTGAGAATGGACTCCTGGACACATGCACACAGTAGCCCCCATTCCCCCAAACACTGTGGTGCCCAAAATGGCCCCGGGGTCAGACCAAGTCCAAGTTCTACCCAGCACCCCATGGGACAGGAAATCCCCACTCCATCCTGTCTTGTGCCAACCAGGCAAGTCAGGAGGTGGGGAGGTTCCCAGATAAAGATGGCTCTGACCAGCTCAGCTTCCTGACCAGACCCCAGAGTTTCAGGTGTCGGCCCTGCCATGCTGGCCCTCCGATGGGTCCTGTCAGAGCCGGGAGGGCAGGCAGCTCAGATCACTTAGGTCATCACCACCTACACTCCCTGTTGCTTCCTTGTGAAACAGGCTCAGGCCCTGGCCCACTGGGACTCAGTAGCCCAGCCTAGCCTGGAGACAGTGTTCCCCTCCCAGAATCTCCACTCAACCTCTTCTCAGAGATCCAGAGCTTCTGAAAGGATAGGGAGAAGAGGAAAGGCTAGAGAGGAAACTCCTTTCTCTACTTCCCAGAACTGAGACCGACCAGCCCCAGCCTGGCCCCTGGGCTCCCTAGTCTCTGGTTCTGTTGTCCACTGGGCTGTCTTGGATCAGAGACAGGTTTCTACCAGAAAGATGGTCTTGTGTGAGAAATAGCGCAGCACTGTAGGAGGTCCTGCCTGGGGTTGAGTCCCATTTGTGGACAGTGTATATTTAAGATGGGAGTCAGTTTCCTAATCTAAAAAGTGGAGTGACTACTAATAGCACCCTTTTCAGAGGTGGTTATCATGATGCCTAAGTGAGAGGCTGAGTGGCATAGCAGTTAGCAAACAGTAAAGTACTAACAGAGGTTATCAGTGTGACCCATCCCTGCCCTGGAGCCCCACCTGGCCAGAACAACATGTGGAGAGAATGGGGAACAAAGGTCTCTGGAGGAACCCCATTCCCAGTTAACTGCTCAGGCCCAGGAGGAAAGAGGAGGAGCCGTGACCCCACTTTGCCCTTATCCTGGAAGTAAATAAGGTGAGCAGACAGCTTGGCTACTAGATCTTAAGCAGGAAGAGCTCTGCCAGGCTTATGAGCCACACGAGTATACACACACGCACACACACACACTTGTCTGGACAGCTGACTTCCTTCCCCTACCAGGTATACATACCAGTGGACTGACTCATCCAGCTACCCTCCTCACCTGGACCCCAGAGGCCTCTAGGCTACTGTGTCCACCATACCGCCCCCTCCCCAGTTGGGTCACCCCCAACTGGGCTTGTTCTTTAGACTCTGGTGGTCTGGCAGTTTTCCCCCAAACCACTAAAGACCAGTACCTGGGGAGAGGAGTACAAGAAATGCTAGAACCAATCCCAGACCCAGCAGTGAGGAGCCCAGCCTTCACCAGGTCCACTTAACAGGTCCCCAAGGTACCTAGCACAGTGCTTGGCCTGGAGTATCTATCTATCTTCTATCTAGTCACCAGGTGGCCTCCAGACAGCTCATTCCCTGATTTGGCCCATTGGGGTCAAAGGAGGAATCCCGAGGAGCTTGCTCCCACTCACACATCCCAGAGCACCCACCCACTCAACATCCTGAATTCAGGAGCCAACCTGGGCTCTAGGACGTCCCCCCCTCGCCCCTCTTGTAGCCTGTTCTTTATTTACTGTTTATACCATGCCTACTTCTAAGGATGAGTTGGGATCGAATGGGACTCTCCTCCAAACCCCTTTCTGATGCTTCGCGCAGAACCCTATAACCAGTCCATTTTGTGAGTCTCCCCAGATCCTGGCACCCTCGTCCTCACCTCTGAAGCCCTGGGTCCGCAGCTCGCGGTAGGAGCGGTAAACCTCCCGCGTGAGGTAGTTGATGAAGCCCTCCCTGGGCGCGAACTTGCATACGAAGCTCTGCTCGTAGAGGCAGTTGATAAGGAAGCAGGAGACGATGGCGTCCTCCCCGCCGTCGGGCTGCAATTCCACCAGCGCCAGATTGCAGTCGTTGGAGCTGCAGCAGGCGTGCACGCAGTCCCGGCCGCGGCGCGCGGTGAGGGAGCGCAGGAAGGTGGCCCCGTTTCTGACCGAGGCGTCCGTGTCGAGCACGAAATCAGGCACCCCGGGGGTAAAGCGGTTCAAGCAGCCGTCGGCCGTGAGCAAACCGGGGGTCACCGGCGGCGGCCCGGCCTCGGCGCCCCGGAGGACGAGCGCGCAGAGAAGCCACACGGCGACCGCTGGGATGCGGGCCTGGGAGAGGCGGCCCCCGGCCATCGTCCTCCCGGGGATCGTCGCCCTCCTCCCCGCCGGGGTCACCTTCACAGAGAGGACCTCTGGGCTCCGAGGGTGCTAGCCACCTGCGAGAGGGAGGGGACGGAGGAGGAGACATCGGATCAGCCGAGAGACTTCCAGGGAGGAGGGCCGGCCGGGAGGAAGTGAAGGGGAGGACCGAGGAGAGCGAACACCCCGGGAGTGAAGAAGGGCAGGCGAGCCCGGTCCTCCCACGCACACTTCGGTGACCCCACAGCCGGTCGGACGGCTAAAGAGCTCACGTACCCGGACACACGCACCGGCGCAGAACAAAGGGCCAGACATGCTCCGAACCCGCTCCGCCTCCTCCTGGCTCTCCTCGGCCCGGGTTACCTGCGCAGGTGAGTGGGGTGGGGCCGGGCCTGCCGAGGTTCCGGTTCAGGTTTCCTGTCCTGCTCGGACCGCCGTTTCCGCCCAGGTGTCCGGTGCGCTGGAGATCCGGCACCTCCACCCGTCTAGTTTCAGGTGAAACTGAGTCAATGCGGCCGGGGCGGGGCGAACATTAACCCAGGCGTCGCCGGCCCCGCCCACGCCCGATGCGCCCCTGCAGCCCGGGCTTCCGGGCCGCCTACCCCCAATCCCTGCTATCTTCCACCCTGCTTCTGCAACCTGGTGCCCAAACAGGCTCAGAGGCCGGCGCGCCCTGCCCCGATCCCAACCTCGCGGTGCTCCATGCGCCCCAGAAGTACACCCCTATCCCTGGAGGCCCGGACACTTCGGGAAGCGCCGACGATGTCTGACACCCGAAGGTGGCTCAGATGCTCAGAGGCGGCCGACTCCCTTTCCGGTCCGGGCTAGCATTCCCAGACTCAGGCCCGAGGCGCTAGGGAAGGGGCTGGGGCAGGGGAAACGGGGGAAAGCCCGATGCCAATGATCTCGCTGCCGTGGTCAGCCCTCGGGAAGTCATTTCCATCTTGTGGCGGGAAGAGATGCCAGGAGCTGTGTGGCTGCACCTTTGATAGCTGGAATCCCGGATGCCTGCTGGATTATTACCACCTTTGCCAGCTCTGGAAACCCTCCTTTCTGTTACAGTTGAGAAACCAAGAGATTTCCCCGGGCCAGGTTTCCCTGCTTGATCCTCAGTGGATCCTCAGTGGTTTTGAGGCCCTTCCTCATTTTGTACTAACGTTTCTGTTCGGGTCGTTGTCGGAGCTGAGTTAGCTTCATTGGTCAGCTGATCCCTTCTCTGGAGCACAGAATTTCTCTCCTCTCTCACCAGTTGGGGTGCTCCTGGTTAGGAGCTGGCTCTTTGAGTAAAATAGCATCCTTGGAAGCCAGAGGTTCCAGATCACCAAAGTAGCTGAGCCTTCACTGAGCCCTGGACTCCTTGAAACCAGGCTCATTGCTTTTCCTGAGTGAAGAACTCCTCTTAAAGACCATTCTTTACAGAACAATGTTGGTCCTGTTAATGTTCTCCTCAAAAGAGATTCCATACCGCATACTACCAGGGGAAGTACAGTGAACAGAAATCTGCCTGCCAATGCAGGGGTCACAGATTCAAGCCCTGATCCAGGAAGACTCCATATGCCAGGAACAACTAAAGCCCATGAGCTGCAACTACTGAACCCGCGAGCTGCAACTAATGAAGCCTGTTCACCTAGAGTCCGAGCCCTGCAACGAAAGAAATTGCAGCAACAGGAAACCCTTACACCACAACAAAGAGTGGCCCGCAGCAATGAAGACCCAGCGCAACCAAAAATAAGTTACTAAATAAATTTTTTAAATTTTTATTTATTTTTTTTTCCATTTATTTTTATTAGTTGGAGGCTAATTACTTTACATCATTGCAGTGGTTTTTGTCATACATTGAAATGAATTAGCCATGGATTTACACGTATTCCCCATCCCGGTCCCTCCTCCCACCTCCCTCTCCACCCGATCCCTCTGGGTCTTCCCAGTGCACCAGGCCCAAGCACTTGTCTCATGCACCCAACCTGGGCTGGTGATCTGTTTCACCCTAGATAATATACGTGTTTCGATGCTGTTCTCTTGAAACATCCCACCCTCGTCTTCTCCCACAGAGTCCACAAGTCTGTTCTATACATCTGAGTCTCTTTTTCTGTTTTGCATATAGGGTTATCGTTACCATCTTTCTAAATTCCATATATATGTGTTAGTATACTGTAATGGTCTTTATCTTTCTGGCTTACTTCACTCTGTATAATGGGCTCCAGATTCATCCATCTCATTAGAACTGATTCAAATGAATTCTTTTTAATGGCTGAGTAGTATTCCATGGTATATATGTACCACAGCTTCCTCATCCATTCATCTGCTGATGGGCATCTAGGTTGCTTCCATGTCCTGGCTATTATAAACAGTGCTGCGATGAACATTGGGGTGCACGTGTCTCTTTCAGATCTGGTTTCCTCGGTGTGTATGCCCAGAAGTGGTATTGCTGGGTCATATGGCATAAATAATTTTTTTAAAAAAGAGAGATTCCACACCTTCACTATGACTTAACAAACCTCAGCCCAATGGGAACAGTCTTACCCACTAGGTCCTGTAGCCGACCCTCAGTCTTTGTCCCAGCTTAACTGCAACATTCCCTAGCTGCACACATTATGGGTATGGGCATTGGGTGTGGGAATCTGGAGTCTGTCTCCCCTCTGAATTTTCTGGGTTTTTTCCACTGCCCCAGGCACGGTGGGGAACATAGATGGTATGTTGGGGAATGAAGCATATGATTGTGTAGTTACTGGAAAGAAAGAATTTTGTTGATATTTGATCCATGCTTTCTTTAATACCTTATATATATAAAAATCCTAACAGATAAGACTTACCCTATGGTAATATTACTACAGATTAATCATTACTTCCATCATATATACCATTACAAAAACCTACATCTGATAATGCCCAAAACCTGTTCCCAAGTATTTCCCACACATTGCCCCATTCAGTCAAAACAAACCTAGAAAGTAGGTACTAAATTTATCCCCATTTTAAAAATGAGCAAGCAGGCTCAGACAGGTGGACAAACTTGTTAGGTCACGTGACAGATAGGTGGCAGAACCGGGATTGGAGTTCAGGCAGGCTAAATCCACTGCTTCAGCACCTAAACACTGTGCGTTTACTGCACTTTCAATTCTGACTTCAGCTGGAAATTCCACACTCAGCTCAGATCAACTTGCCTTGAAAATCAACAGATTTTCAAGTGATGATCAGCTACCATTTGAGATGCCTGCTGGGTTCCAGACGTGTGACATCTGTGACCTCTGATGCTCACAACAGCTCTGAGAATAGTTTCTACTTTGCAGGGAGTCTCACTAACCTCCACCAAGGTAAGGTAGTGAAGAGTGGGAGGCAAGAGGCTATAGGGGTTCAGCTTGTGGGCTTCAGACTCAGATTACAGGGTTTAACTCTTTCATCTGCCACTTACTGTCAGTGTGTCCTTTGGCAACTTATTTAGCCCCTCTGTGCCTTAGCCTTCTTGTATACAATGTGGGACTTCCTAGGGTTAGTATGCGAATTAAATGAGTTAATACAGAGAAAACATTTGACTCTGAGTGCTCAATAAATGTTACCTGAAAAAAATGACAGAGTCAGAATTTTGTCTCAAGTATCTCAGATATCAAAAACTACACTTTAGGAACTTCCTGGTGGTCCAGTAGCCAAGACTCCACACTCCCAATGCAGGAGGCTCCGGTTTGATACCAGGTCCGGGAATTAGATTTCACATGCTGCAGGGACGATCAAAGATCCTGAGTGCCGCAAGACCCGGCACAGTCAAATAAATATGTTCAAACAAACAAACAAACAAAAACAACCCTACACTTTTCACACTACCTTATGCTGGTTCTAACATCCTAAAGAGAAAAGCTACACATGAAGGGAAAAAGACTAAGTTCACCAAAGCCGTAAAGGTGGTGGCATTTGAATGACGAAAATATGGGGTAACATTTTCTTTTTTCTAGTTTAGAAATTATTACCAAAGTTTCCTTTGGTGAACATGGAGTGTTTCCATGAGAAAGAGAAAAATACATCATGACAGCTTTCACATTCATCATATTTAGCCCCGCATTACTTCTTTTTCCACATTCTCTCCTCATCTCACTGAACCAGACACTTTGTCCCAGTATCTCTGTGCCCCCTGCCTTACCTTGGGCTTCCCTTGCAAACATCCAGCCAGCCCTGGGTGGTGGCAGTCTTCTTCAGGAACTGCTCACATCCATCCTGTCTTGTCTGTTGCCACTGCTGCCCTAGTCTTGGGCTCTGTACCAGCTTGCAGATGTCCTCCAGGCCACCCTGCACATGGCATGTGGTTCCCTCCTCCAGCCCTGCCCTTCATCTGTTCAGGTCCTCAGGGACTCCCAAGAACCTCTCTAGCAGCGTGTACAGAGCCAGCTATCCTCTGGGTGGGCTCATAAAATTTGGTTTATGGAGAGGCAGAGAGCGTCAGAGCTATTGGTGGTCTCAGTTAAAGCCCTTCCCCTTATATATAGGAAGCTGTATGTTCTATATATAGGCCCAGAGATTGGTTGTTGGTTTGTTCAGAGACAAACAGAGCTGGTATGTAGCAGAGGCCATCTCTACACTTCAGGTCTCTTGACTGCCAATATTGGGCCCTTTCTGTGATTCTGACTTACCTTCCTACAAAGCATTTCCAGATGATATTTTCTTTTCTCCCTCTCTCCTTTTTTGGCCATGCTGTGTGGCTTATAGGATCTCAGTTCTCTAACCAGGGGTTGAACCTGGGCCACAGCAGTGAATGGCCAGAACACTAACCACTAAGCAACCAGGGAATTCCCCCAGATGATATTGTTTTCTGATTGTACGTTGCAGCCCCAAGGGAGCTGTCCAGGTGAGTTAGCTCTTTTGTTAGGCCATGTGGTTCACATTCCCTATATGAACTTGGGGAAGAGAAAGCCAGGGTTTATGCTATAGGCTTCCTTCATATTTGCAATACCTCCAGTACCAACCACTGATGTTAGGAGTGGCTGGTTTGGTGAGAACATGCAGTC